GCTCTGTACTACCTTGCCACGGACCAAAGATCTGCAGGCGAGACTATCGAAACCAAGGCAGTACTGCGTTACGATCATGCAGCAAGTACGATACTAGAACCTTCTCTGTACACCTTCCGACGCCCAAGTGCGTTAGACTGCGCCTAAAATGCCAGGTGGTCAGCCCGCTTTTATTCCCAACTGACTCAGTTCTCAACGCCCTGGCATGATGGGACCGCACAGAGCATATATGTGTCCTGAATCCTCGTCATACTCCTCTCACCCGCTCACTTCTCCGGCAACACTGGTGTTACGTCAAAATGCAACCTTTGCAACAGGGTGCATGGTGGAGGCAGGAACGATACGAGCTTTGTCCAAGGTGATGGAGGTCGGCGCAACGAAATCGGTTTTGCCCCTTGTAGCGGCAGCTCTGCGGTGCCTTACTCAATTGCCAACTCGGGTGGAGACGCCCGCGAAGGACAACGACAAAGAAAAGCACAAGGATGGGACCAGGATGGGTGCCAGTGGTGACGGGGACGACGCAGAAGGTGGGCAACAATGCGGCTATCGGTGGCACGCAACGGTGCGCCTTGCCTGTGTATAGATGACCAGCAATTAAACACAGAGTCACTGGCAAGGCGGGTAGAATCGAAACTAGTCAAACTACCAATTTACTTTTGGTTAAGTCTCTCGTCCACTTTGCCGTTGTTTTGTATCATGCACTCGGGAAACAATGCAGAGCGGATAGCAACAATCGAACAGGATGCTCCCAGAATAGCTCAACTGGTGGCTTCACAGGGCGCCGGTGCCCTCGTTCGGCGATTGGTGGAGGCCTCCGGCTCCGCGGAGGCGCCCACTGATTCACGCGAGGCCACACTCTATGATTGCGCTGTCGTTGTATTCAACTTGGCCGGATCAGCGGCTTCGTGCGCCGAGCTGCAGAGGGACTTGGTTGGGGAAGGCGGTGTTTTGCCTGCTCTTGCAACTCTCGCTGAGGTTAAGTGAGTGCTAGGGTAGGAACGTGAAGACCATTCCAGCGAAGTAACTTGTCTTGAGATAGCATCCCGAGGTATCGGTGGCGTTTCGTGAGTTGAGTACCTGGGCGGATGACACCCTATCTGGCGGTTGACATTCAGCGGGGTCGGATCGCGCTTGTTGTCAGCATTCAGCTGAGTCGACTACCTCGAGGAATCAGGGACCGGCAAGGATCTGACAATGCTTACGCCTACTTCTGTCTCGAAACAATTGCCACTAGACCCGCCCGGGACCTGGTGATGGCGACTATGGCCCTCCTGAGCAACGACCCGAGCAATCGCGAGGAGGTCATTACACAAGGGTGAGTGGGAAACGAACACTGTTTGAAAAAGGTTGAGAAGGGACCGGCGGCATAATCACCAACGCAGTCGTTGCCCAACGCGCAGAAGCGGGATCCGACTGGCGGGGAAAAGTATGATCCAGTTGTACTGAACGGGCAGTAGCTCGCATCACCGTCGTCTCAAGCATGGATGTAAAACCCTCCTTATGGACTACAGTAGTAGCGCACGCTCACACTTTCTCCCCTTCTGCTTTGGTCCCCTCTAACTTGTGAACATCAGGGGCGCGGAGCTGACACATATGATGGCGGGAGGACTAGATGGCTGGGCCAGTCAGCGACCAGAGGTTGTCACGAACGCCGTTTGTGCGTTGTTCCTCATGTCGCGAGCCCCTCCATTGGCCCGAGAACGTCTGAAAGAAGGGGGCAAGGTCACGCAATTTTTGGCGAACCTGAGCAAACGTGGAAACGAACTGCAGAAGAAGGTGGACAACTTTTTGTGTAAAATGACCACGTGTACGGTTTGAGTGACAATGTTCGTGCTGCAGGCCTTTCCTTTCGTGCAAGGCCAGCAGCTATTCGGGTGCAGTTGGGACATGTTTTCCTTCTATAAGCACAATTGGCATTTTCTGTTTTGATTATCGAGGATCTCGAAAAAAGCTCCAAACGATCTATTTCCTCAGAAATTGGCATGCACTCAATGGGTTCTTCTCGGGACTTATTGAGACAGACTTTAAAATGGTATTCTGACCAGATTGAAAAACAACAAAAAAATAAACCTAAATCGGCGAGGTGCATCGCCCGAGACCAATCGTCGCCATATGCTGCCATTCTCTAGGTGGCGAGCGACGCTCTTGGGAACCTCACTCGAGATGTGGGGATGGGTATCGAAGAGGGTACGGTAGCTGCCCTCATTTCCCGCTCGCTTGAAGGCCCGGGAGACACGGACACGGATGATGATGTCATGAAGAGTGCGTACGTCGCCCCTGGCATCTCTACCCCGTGCATCGGGGGTCACGGTCCCGGAGGGGGCTCATCTGTCGAGAATACATCGTACGAGGTACCTATGAACCGCCTGATGCGCTCACCTTCGTTTTCATGAGACCCGCCGTGGTGATGCTGCTATGGTATGCCTAGGACCCAAAGAGTAGTATCCCGCCGACAAGCCTGTCGAACACACCCTACCCTGGCAACCTCAAGAACACTACAATGAGATACCTGCAAAGGGTCCCCCGGGTGAAGGAGTACCACTATAGCACGTGTTTTTCACTCGTTTTACCTGCTTCGTTTAAGTGCGTTATCCGCGTGGTACCTTCGTTTCTAATATCGTGAGCGTTGTTATTGTTGGCACCCCCAACATATCTAACACCTGTAAGGTCCAAACGGTGACCTTCGTCAAGAGAACCAGCGGTGGTGGTGGGGATCTCCCTCCTCCTCCCGAACCACCAGCTATTGAAGGACAAGGTCTCTACGTGCCAGCGCCCCCACATGATCTCAAGGTGACACTCTGTGCTCACGTCGGGTTGGTTGCCGCCGTTGTTGTGTCTTGTCATGTGCATGATCTCTGACTCGAGAGTCAAGTTCGACTGTGTGTTTTCCTTATCTTGGTCGTGTTTTGGCAGAAAACCATACCCGTTTGCCGTGTCTCGCTCGCAGTATCCTATGGACAGGATTTACAAAATCGGGCGCCTCCTGCCGTGCTACATGTGTATCACTCAACAAGCTCCGAACCGTTTCGTGCCGTGTTGTTTGAAGGATGGATATGGGGATGAAGAAGATGGAGACTACCCAAAGGCAATGCAGTTTGCCAAGATGGACGTGCCAGAGGAATACATGGCCACAAACGACGAGGAGCTAGTGCTGAAGATGGAACAGGTGCGCCTGATGCGGTCTTGCGTGGACGCCCAATAACCTAAATACCTGAATAGACAAAAGCTTGTGTCGAGCCTCAACCAAAGTTTAACCTCGTGATACAATCGTTTGTGTGTCACGAGACCCCACATACATGAAATTCTTTGATTTTGTCTCTCTCATCTCCCCCCCTCCAGCATACGTATACGATGATTTCTTTGTACAAGACACCGAAGCATACTCGTAGTCTACAGAGTTTCAGGCAAATAAGGAGAAACATTACTACAGTATACTGTCGGATGTCGAGCGAAGGACAGGTGACCTTTGAACCTGTGACCCCGCGTGCGTGACCTTTCTCCGGGCGCGGAGATACTTGACAGATTTGTGTCGCCAGTGGTTCATGCCCTGACCATACGCGTGACACGAGATCAATCTCCCCCATAGACACCCATCCCGTATGCTCCTCGGTTTGACAACGCCAACGTCCATTTATCAGCGAAAGGGTGGCGGGCGAAACGCCAACAAAGAAGTCAAGGAAGGAGGGGCGGCAAGGAGGGCGGGAGAAGGGCTAGAGGCTGGAAAATCAGGAGGCACGGCATCAACAGGAGACGAAGATCGAACTGGGTGTATTCGATTTGATACGGAATCTAGACGAAAATTGTCTACCACAAAACGCGGCACTTTGAAGAAGAGCATGGTAAGAACTCACCCGTTACGCACAAACCGCGGTATGGTTTGGCTCCAAGAGTAGTCTTCACTCGTGTCATGAAATTGAAATTCTGTCGTAGAGCGCTGCTTTTGCATATCCTTTTGCCGAAAGTCTAGACGAATCGACCACAGATGAAATGCCTGATATACGATAGCCTAATTAGTGCTCCGTGCGCTCTGTGTAGGCTCCGCCGAACACGCCTAAACATCGCATCCCTATGGATCCCCCTCCTTCCTTATCGTTCGGAATGTTCCGCCGCCCAAAATCACGCTACGTGAAACGCGCGCGCCATGGCCGGAATATTGCTGTATACTCTTGCAAAGCAGAGCACGTCTGCACTCGCGAACAACCAACGTCGTCGGAGCTCCCGACAAGTCGTGGGAAGGAAACTTTCGACAGCAGCAGGGAAGTCGAGGAGCAGAGACAATAGCGGAACGCGCGTTTTGCAGCGATCCTGGACGAGGCACGATGCCATTGGGGTAGACGACGATGGCGGTGGAGATGGTGGTCAACAACGAAGCTCAGCCTCATCTCACCAAGGGGGTCTTGCAATAGATCGGCAGGCAGCTGCTCTAGGTCTCTACGCGTGAATAATGGAGCGACCGGCACTCTGCTCCGTCTCATCTTTCGTGCTAGTTCTAGGTTGCTTTTGGCATACGGTGGAAAGCGTTTTCGTCAATTTATTAGCTCTTTTGTGTATACTACGTCGATAGATAAGTATGCAAGTACCTGGTACGGTTTAGACCTAAGTATGGTGTCGAGCCGAACGATATGACGGCAGCTTTTCGAATAGGACGGGCGGTTTGATAAGAGACGTAGACTCGTTGGTTTTCAGAATAAACACCGGAACGGTGCTTCGAAACAGACACCCGACCGACCCTGTCGGATATCGAAATACTGGACACGTCTGGCCGTTGCCATCGTCCCCTGCACAGACCGCTGAATTCGTCCTCTGCAACCTGGTTCATGTTTAAAAGAAGAACAGCGTACCGCATGGTAGTGGCTTCATCTGGTGTGGAAGGGTTTTGTGGACCGGTGAAATCACAATTCCGAGGCGACAAGCACCATCTCGTTCGCCATCGAACCGCCTTGGATCCGCGGATGATACTTGCAAGGCCGTGCAGATCATGTCGGACTGACAAAAAACAGCACCGAGAAACCTGCCATCAGAATACCTCGCTGTACGAACATTGTTCTCAATTGAACGGAGTGCCACGTGGAGGAAAACCAAAATGAATCTAAATTATACGGATCACAATGAGCAAAACTATCAACGCACAACATCCCTACACAAACGAATTCTTCCTCTTCTCGTCGACCTGCCACTTGGCACGGGCATAAAGTACCGGGGGATGAGCTAGTGAACGATCTTTTTCACTTAAAGAAGCCGACAGCACTCCGTCAAAGCACGACACGAAATCCGCCAGTGATTGATCCGTGAAAAATGTCGCCACGACGCCGTCCAGAAGATCCCAGTGGACTGCTGCAGGCTGTCGGTTCGGGTTCTCCTTCTGCAGCACCCACAACAAACTGAGCCTGTATCGACCAAAAGTAGAAACATCGCCAAATACATATTGCTAAAGCCCCACCCTGAGTGGGTTTTTAGCCACTCCGACAACAGCATACTGAGTGGTTTACTGCTCATCATCATAACCACAAACAGCAGAGCACCGGACAGCGGGACACGAGGAGGCAAGCGGGCACGGTCGTAAATGAGCAACAGGTTAGCCGACAAGTCACAAACAAACGTTGTGCACATCGTTGTTGTTCTTGGTTCTGTATTTCAGCCTTTTTCCGATCTCCATTCGATATCCGTACCACCCCACCCGGTCAGTAACGGATTTCGTGGTCACAGAAGAAATAAGTGACAAATATCTGCAAACTAAACATGTGTAGTTGCTTGCAGCACGACAATACCATAGCGAGATCGCCTGTCTCAGCAAATAGAAACCCACCAATATGTGCACATGCGAATTCCACGCCGTTGACGTGTTGGTCGAGGTGATCTTTCCAAGTTCGTCGGTGTGCTGTCTGGGTGAAGCAACAGGTGCTATGGGTATCACTGCCAATATGTGAACCTTAAAAGAGCACCCACGTGTACCGCACAAACAAGTCATCAGCAAATCACCGATCAAGATTTACAGAAACGTCGTGAATGACAGATTTCTCTAAGCGCCTCACACGTGGGAAACGCCCGGGGCATTTGTACGAGCCCGAGAAATATTTATCGTTTGAAAAACAAGTCCCGTCCAAAATACGTAAAGGGGGCAGGTGAACACCCGGGATATGGTTTCACGCTTGCAGGAAGTTCAGGACGCAACCATGGAGTGCTTGTTCCATAATCTACCGTATAGCTGCCGGCCCATCCATCTTTCGACTTCGGTATCGATCACGCCATCCGCCCTGGTTGTCTCACCATGAAGTCGTCCTCGAAAGCGATTGAAGCGGACGCGTCTTCTGTGGCAGCAACATCGGCGTTGGACGCCATCTTAGACTCCTCAAACAACGTGTCGTATGATCGCAGTCGTTTCTCTTCCTCCTGCCATTGTTTCACCACGGGCAACAAGTATTGTGAACATGGTTCGTTCGCCACCCGAGCCGCGGAATATGACGAGACAGCGCGCACACGGGATGCGGCGCACGGTACATACGGAATAAGGCAAGGGCCAAGGGTAACAGGAGATACGGTAAAGGTGAACAGCCTTTGCGCAAGGTGGCGGAAAGGCAATTAATCGGCGCCAACTCTTGTCAACAGTGTCGGTCAGCAATCACTTTAGAGAATCAACGCTGCCTTTTACGCTGTGCCTCGAGAACGTTCTCGTCCTTCGGCATCGACCGGAGAGCACCATGCCAGCATACAACAGGAACAGGAGCGAGACCCCTTTCACGGTAGGAATAAAACAAGAATTGTTGCGTCGAATAAGATCGACTGACCTTCTGCTTCCGAGCAATCTTCTCTTCGAGTTCTTTCTTCTTTCTCAAGGCTTTCTGCTCTCTGTCGAATTTTTTCGCCGCGAGGGAAAGGCCGGGCAGGTGCATGGCCGCACGCGTCCAAAGAAAATTGTCAATTTTGGAGGATCGATATCGCGATATCCACTCGCGTTATCGGGCATAACAGAACAAAACACACATCGGATGCCATTTAAAACTGCGTAGTTCGGCGCTGACGATAAGAGCCCCCGCCTCCTTGTCCCTGTGCCTAAAAACCATCCGCCACGTCAGGGCTTGTACTAGGTACCCACGTTCCCACCTAGTACCAGTCCTTCATCCCAAACAAACGAAGTTGGTGGTTTCCGCATGATCTCTCCCTCGTTCCCAACCTTCACATGAGCTGCGTTCGGCCAATTGTTGTTCAGGAATGTCGTTACTGCGTAGATGGCCTTCACAATGCTTACCTCCGGTGTTCCTTCGCCCGTTCCTCCTGCAACTCGGCGAGATTCGGATGCTCCTCGCGCTTGGTGCGGTTCAGAGCGTTAACGATAGCGTTGGTCTTTTCCACCCGACACTTGAACACCCTGCTCTCGTCCTTGTAGCCCACCTGAGCGCCGCCAAAAAACAAGCATCAAGAGGTAAAGTGTAATAAATACTTCGTACCGACGGGAAAGGGCCTGCCTGATTTACCTCACATCCCTCTCAAGTTCTGTCAAAAAGCTGATGCCGATGAATTGAGTTCGCTGATTGGGTCACACAGAGGACGAGACGGAGTGCGTGTCGTTTCGATAATGTTTCTCGCGCTATTCTATCTTCGAGAGTTTTACGGTATCCCCCGACAGGAAAGATTGGTATTCCCCACCCACGGAAACCACACTTGAACAAATCAAGGATCGAGTGTACGTGAAGCAGCACGCTTTCAATAGATCTCTGCTACGCGTTCATTCTCACGCACCTCATCTCTTGAAATCATGTTGGCGAAATCTTATTGCTCCTGTTCACCCGCGTGTTAGTCGCTCGTACCGAGTGACAACACAGTTCTATGTCGAAGCACGTGCTGGTTTTCGCACCTGTCCCGCCTCATAGCTAGCCTTTTTCTCAAGGTTTTGCCACCGAGTGTAGACAACGTTGACTTCCTTCCGCTTGCACCCTTCGATCGAGTTTGCCTGAAGAACAGCACGCGATCGCCGTCTTCGATGTAAGTTTCATACGCACGTAGTAACCGATCGAACCACTAATTTCTTACCCCACCTGCGTGGACCCAAGTAAACATCCTGAAAAGGATGTAACATAGCCTGCTACCGTTGCGTTCGCAGCATATCAGAGCAGTAAGAAGAGGAGGCATGCAATGGCTCCAGAAGGCATGCATATGGCTCGCCGTACGACACGAAAAAGGGTGGTTGGGAGCGATTCAAGTGTAGGAGAACGTGCCCATGCAAGCGCGGCGATAGAGGAAAACTCGCTTACCTTGACGAGAGTGCAGCATTCCACAAGCAGCGCAGGATCGAGCTCTTTTAGCTGCACAAAGAACGCGAACGAAACAAGGAAGAAGGAAGGGACTGTGTCACCCCTCTCTCGCAATAGCAACTCAAATCCACGCGAGGTCCATCATTCTGGTCCATCACACAAGTTGGGCAGGACTACTTGTCGACCGCCCATCCTCTCTGTTTCTACAGACACCGATGGGCACCGGGCTGATCTGTCCCACCCCGAAAAAATTCCATTCTCCCGACTTATCCGCCTCTGGTCCTTGTGCTACTCGCGATCGCTCTTCAAAAGCCATTGGCGTACCCCCCCTCTATCGTCCGAACCTTCTCTCCCCGATTCATTCGGAGGTAGACGTGAGCGGAGCTCAAGTTGTCGACGTGAAACCAGACATCTTCTGGAAAACCGTACCGGATCAAGTCCTCGTTCTCGTACTTGTCTTTGCCCATGTACAGCATATGCCCGTCTGGGAAAGCATAAGGAGAACGACGAAGCACTTTGAATGGAAATTTGGAAATTTCGGACTGACTATTCAGAATCACTCTCGGTGACAAGTATCATCGCTACATATGTACCGTGGGCCATGAAAGGTGTTGTAGCGTACAGGTCGTGTACACTCGAAACGAAGCTCTGCGGCATCGATTACCCATTAGCACTCGAAAGCTGGTTCGAATCCCCAGAGCATGATCAACATATCAACCTCGGCGGTAGTACACCAATAGCCAACAACAACAACCGCGCGGCAGACTCTTCGGCACTTCCCGCGTCTGGTACGGTAGAATGGATTGTTCCTGGCCCGCGTTCGAAACAAGGAATGACATGTTTGAGTAGAGCGAACGGTAAGAACGACGGCCCAGGACTGGGCCTTCCTCTTCAAACGCGCGATCCGACAGGGAGCTGACGTGAAGGATGTCTTCCGTCAGTAGTCAGTGGTAGGCCGATAGAACCACCTCATTCATATGTGGGGCATCCCACGCGAACAAATGGATATGTAGTCTGTTTACGACCTGTCCTACTGACTGGTAAAACCTGCTGGCATTCACAAGCGTCGGGCACCTGTGGCACCTGCGGGAACGTGCTGAAGTGCAGTCAGCTGCTGTAGGTGCAGCAGCTCTCGGCACCTTTTAGGCATCGAGAACAGGCGTAGTATCTCAGTTGTATCAGTTGTATCAAATAATGAAATGCCATGGTTTTGGCTGTCGTACAAACACCAAGACAGACCCCAGCCTGGCAGCTACGCGTACATACGCAGAGCAGAGCATTGCAGTTTGTCTTGCGACCTAGACTGTTGTAGTCTGTTGCCGGAGAAATTGACTGTCCTTGACTCCTCTCACCACTTGACGTGAAGTAGAATACCATCTTGTATACGTGTGTGGTCGTAGCAGGTACGAGCACGGAGAGGCGAGTGGGTGGTTGAGGTGTGAGCAGCGGAGGAGCGGAGGGCGGAGTGGCGAGATCACGACGGCGTTCGGTAGTAAGGATCAAGGAGCAAGGCAGCAAGGTGAACAGAGCAGTGGGGGGTTTCCAGGTTCGAGAGGCCTGCCGGTCCGAACCAAACCCATAGTTCCCCTTCCCACTTTCCACCAATCAACTTCCGCAAACCGCGAACTGCCAAGGCCGATAGGTTTTTCCCCCGTAGGCGATGTTTTTTTTTCGGCGTTTCACGGATATTTTCGGCGATTTTTTTTAATGCCGATAACAACTTCTTCGGCGACTTTGGCGACTTCCACATGTTTTCGGCGAGTCATAGTTCAGTTTCGGCGATTGTTGACGATTTTCGGCGACGTAGTAGCATGTACTTCCAGTAACACAAACGAGCGGGTCGCGACGCGGTTGGACTGCTGCGGAGGCCACCTGTCACCTGTCCGCGAAAAGCGAAATGATTTGTCCTTCGTCCTTCTCTTATTTTTGTACAAACTACATCTTGCATGTGACGCTGGTGTGTACATGCAATATTCCCAGCCCTCAGTTATAATACAAATCAACAACGAAATGGAATACTATGATGCTTCGATACTTCGAAGTTTCGCATGGCATGCACGCTCACGTCGGGGCAAAAACACACACATCTGGACAGGTACTGACCCACCAACTACGAACAAGTAAGACATCTACACGAAAGTGAAACACAGGCCATCAGTCGCTTTCTTCATCGCTGCCATCGCTCTGGTCGCTACCGCCGCCGCTGTTGGCATCTTCGGCGCTACCCGTCTTCTCTGCTGAGCTGCTACTCTGGGCCCGGCCCCTGTTGTACTTGAGCAGCGCCAATAAGGTCGGTGTACACGTGCTCCTGCCGTTCATTAAAGCAACACCGCAGGATGGAAAACACTCGTTCCATGAATGCAGAGCATGGTTGCAAAAGAGCAACATCCAACACCAAGGCGTGCCACGTAGGCAGCCGTTTCTTGTTGTCATCCCAGAACGCCATGTGGCCGTACTCGATGTCTGTGTCACTGGCCGCCATGTAGTAGTCTTCCTTCTCCTTCAAAAGCCCCCTGACCATCTTGCTCTTGACGAACGGGAGCACCTTGAGGCTGCGAATGGTGTCATCGGAGTACTTCTTGCTTTTCATGAACACGAAGTCCGTCAGCTTCGCGGCCTTGAACATCTCCAAGGTCTTGGCCTCCCTCGCTTGGGAGTGGCGTCCGACCCTGTCGTGTGCGTACTGGCGGAGGGTGTCCAAGTCGTCCTGCATTTCGCTCGCGAGCAAGTCGGAAGATGCCCCCTTCACAAGCAACACGCAACGCAAATTAACGGACGACAACCAAGGAGCAATAGGAGAGAAAGGATGAAGGTGGGCCAAGGTTTAATTTCGTTGAAAACACGCGCGGAACGACTAACGGCATCTTCTCACACAAGTAACACACGATGTGTTGCCCTCTTCAATTTACACAATCTAGCGTGAAGATAATAAACTATATAGACTATAGAATCTCGCAGCCCGCGGCCCGTAGTTGAGCTCACCAGGTCGTCTCCTTGACCGACTACTTGGTCGAGAAGAGCAGCGACGGTGGGCAAGGAGACATCCTCTGAGAAAACACCGTCTTCAGCTAGCTCAAACTTGCTGCGGAACCGCTCCACGACGTTGTACGTCTTGTGCGCCTGCCATCGTGAGAAAGCGGCACCGAGAGCGGCGAAGTGGAAAACGAGGATAAATGTTGATACAAAAAACTAGATGAAGCAGCGAAAGAAACTACCACCGCAAGAAAAAAGACGCGCGAAATGTCTGCTTTCTGCTTTCCACAAAAAATGGACGAGCCCTACTTATGTACGTACCAATGGCTCGTCGCCCTCCAGGACGATAGTTGCTGAAGTCACGGAACGACCGACGTCCACCATCAGAGCCAGGTGCAACTGGAGAACTAAGCTCTGGGCCTTGTTGTCGTCGCGAACTCGCACTAGCTCATCCCTNCGCCAATAAGGTCGGTGTACACGTGCTCCTGCCGTTCATTAAAGCAACACCGCAGGATGGAAAACACTCGTTCCATGAATGCAGAGCATGGTTGCAAAAGAGCAACATCCAACACCAAGGCGTGCCACGTAGGCAGCCGTTTCTTGTTGTCATCCCAGAACGCCATGTGGCCGTACTCGATGTCTGTGTCACTGGCCGCCATGTAGTAGTCTTCCTTCTCCTTCAAAAGCCCCCTGACCATCTTGCTCTTGACGAACGGGAGCACCTTGAGGCTGCGCATGGTGTCATCGGAGTACTTCTTGCTTTTCATGAACACGAAGTCCGTCAGCTTCGCGGCCTTGAACATCTCCAAGGTCTTGGCCTCCCTCGCTTGGGAGTGGCGTCCGACCCTGTCGTGTGCGTACTGGCGGAGGGTGTCCAAGTCGTCCTGCATTTCGCTCGCGAGCAAGTCGGAAGATGCCCCCTTCACAAGCAACACGCAACGCAAATTAACGGACGACAACCAAGGAGCAATAGGAGAGAACGGATGAAGGTGGGCCAAGGTTTAATTTCGTTGAAAACACGCGCGGAACGACTAACGGCATCTTCTCACACAAGTAACACACGATGTGTTGCCCTCTTCAATTTACACAATCTAGCGTGAAGATAATAAACTATAGTATCTCGCAGCCCGCGGCCCGTAGTTGAGCTCACCAGGTCGTCTCCTTGGCCGACTACTTTGTCGAGAAGCGACGGTGGGCAAGGAGACATCCTCTGAGAAAACACCGTCTTCAGCTAGCTCAAACTTGCTGCGGAACCGCTCCACGACGTTGTACGTCTTGTGCGCCTGCCATCGTGAGAAAGCGGCACCGAGAGCGGCGAAGTGGAAAACGAGGCTAAATGTTGATACAAAAAACTAGATGAAGCAGCGAAAGAAACTACCACCGCAAGAAAAAAGACGCGCGAAATGTCTGCTTTCTGCTTTCCACAAAAAATGGACGAGCCCTACTTATGTACGTACAAACGGCTCGTCGCCCTCCAGGACGATAGTTGCTGAAGTCACGGAACAACCGACGTCCACCATCAGAGCCAGGTGCAACTGGAGAACTAAGCTCTGGGCCTTGTTGTCGTCGCGAACTCGCACTAGCTCATCCCTCATGAACTTCGCCGCCTTGCTCTTGTCCGTGTCTGCACTCTCGTAGGCGGCGATGAACTTCAACACTCCCGGCCAATTCATGGCGATGATGTAGTCACGATCGAATCTGGAGCCCCACCGGTGTCCAGGCGTCGATGGGGCGCGGACTCCGACTTTCTCTTTGAAGAGCGCCTTCGCTCCAGCGCTGTGCGAGAGCAGGGTGTGCATCTTGCCAAGGAACGTGTCCAACTCCGGGGTGCACAGCTGCTTGGCGATGTTGTTGAATGTGGGGGGCAAGCAGCTGATGACGACCGCGTATCTGAACAACTTCGCCAGCGCGTCCATGGCTAGAAGGTTTGCCGCGCAGCTGTCACGCTTGATGGCTCGGCACTTAACCGGGTCGAGGCCATACTCATGGGTGACGATGCGGGTGACCTCACCAGCAATGTCGTCCGCCGTCATGCTCTTCTTCAGCATGCTCAACCGCAGAACACGCTGTGCCACCTGTCGAGATAAGGTCGAAACATAGACGCGACGGGAGAGGGGGCACAGGAACTGGGTGGTTTCGCGGCTGCCAAACTATTGCTACTGCTTTCACGTCGAAATCGATACCGTCGGACTCGGGCACGACAAAGAACTTCTGAGGACGAACGGCAACAGCAACATTTTAATTACCTGCCCACTTGCGTTGATGAATCGAACCCCAACCCTGAACCACTCGCAGAGGTAGGGAGTGGCATCGAAGCACAACGCGTTAGGTCGGTCGCCCATCTCATCGCGTATCTTGGCTTGCTGTTCCCGAAAATTTCAACGGAATACGACACAGCAGGACACACACACGTGCTGAGTATTGAGATTTTGAACTTTGCACTCGTCCACACTACCGTCTTGGAAAACAGACACACCAGGCACAGCCCCTCTTTTGTTTTTAATTGGTAACTTTAGTGTTCTCACCTCCTCCTCTAGGATCAAAGGTATGTGCTCAGCCAGATGCCCGGAGCTTGGCAAGTTCACGTTGACGTGCGCGAGGAACTTCTCGAACACAGGGTTGCCCAGCGCGTTCAGCGGAACACCTGCCGCCAAACAACCCTTCACCGCTTGATCTGTGTGATTTGTCCTTGTCTGACAGCAAGTCTCCGTAAGTCCCTCCTTGCTCTTCGGAGCGCTTGCGACACACGCGGAGCAAATTGTGTACCGAGGAAACGAACACGTACAGCATGACCAAAAGCTTGGTCCCATCGTTAGGTTGTAGGTTGTGGCGTGTGGGATTGCACAATCTACAATCTCGAGGACAGGGACGCGGCGACAGAGCAAAACAAACACCTGCAAAGGCAGGTACGCAGCAAATGCAAACCGCAGTGGCCTAGTGGTGTGTTACACTATACCAAACTGCAACACCGACGAACACACGCTCACCTGGTCCTCGCCGTCCGTCTCCAGCGTCATCGCAAGGGAGTCCAAGGCCAAGGCTGCGACGGCGGCGGGCAAGAAGTTCAGCAGGCGGGGAGCTGCCTCCAAGAGAACCCCCAAGAAAGAAGCTAGTCTTTTCCCCCGTAGGCGATGTTTTTTTTTTTTTCCGGCGTTTGACGGATATTTTCGGCGATTTTTTTTCGATGCCGAAAACGACTTTTTCGGCGACTTTCGGCGACTTCCACATGTTTTCGGCGAGTCAGGGCATTTGTTACGATGTCTTTTTTCAGGCTTTTTTTAGGCTGTCTTTTTTTCGAAAAATGACAACTGGCCAAATAGCCCCGTTGTTGTTGTTGTTGTTTCTCACATTAGCTCTATAGTCCACCAAAAATGGGGAGCCCGTGGTCTCAAAACCCGGCACATACGACGCCGCGAGAAAACAAAAAAAACAAAATAGGGTACAAACCACTCGGAAAAAGAAAACAAAATGATAAAAAGAAAAGAACAGGTATCGCACCGACCGTTCGAGAAAAGGGCCCTCGGACACCGATCAAAATAAAACAAAACAAAAATAACAGAAAAATAAAGGAGGACGCTNAATAACCCGTGTTATAGGCTGTCAGATAATGTTCGTTGTCATATTTTAGCAAGAAAAGACGTTTGTTATGCTCATGAATCTGGAATTATTATTATTTTGAAGTCATGGAACCCCACGACTTCATCACGCA